TGCTTGTAATGTCTCCACCATGGCATGGCATAGCAAGAGACTCAAGATTTGAAATGCAGCTGGTCTTTTTTGTCCTTTTTTATGATTTTGGAAAAGGGACGGTGATTTCTATAAAACATTTAGTAGAGTGTAGACAGTACCCATTTCAAAAATCAGGAAAATTCTAGTACCTTTTTTATCTACTTTGAAAGATTATTAAAATGATTGAAGTCAAGTGAAAATTAAAAGCACAGGATTTCCAACTGCAGAGACCACAGGAGACCAGCCCGAGCCAGTCGCTGTGCATAGGGAGACAGAGGCCCAAAAAAGCCTGAAGATTGTTCACCACGTCCCTTCACTAGCTGTAGCCAAAACCCAATATTCTTCTCACGAGAGCATGTGCCTCCTTAGAGAAAGAAGGAAGACATCTGTGTGTGTGTTTTTCACAGTTGGGGAAAATTGCCTTAGGCTTTTTATATATTTAAAAATAAAAGTAATCATGTTAGGACAAAACTGGAATTTCAAAAAGATGAGCCATAGTGGGAACTATTAGTGTATAAATATTAGTGTATATGAAAAAATGAGACCTAGTGATTTCTTCTAACTGATACTATGAGGTTTTTAAATACTGTCTTTTTTTTATTATATTGAAATATTTTGACACTAAGTTATTTATAGTATTGCTGTTTAACAAATGCATTATCTTACTATCCACTGTTTTGGATATCTTAAATTGCCAATAATTTTTTTTTCCTTATAAATTCATCTCATATTAACTTTATATCCCAGGAGAGATATTACAACAAGCTGACAAAGCTAGCTAGGAAGCCATCTACTCATGGGCCCACCAGACTGTACTGTTTTGCTTTCTCTTCTTTCATTCTGCTCATAGACTCTTCTATGAAACCAAAGTGAGCAATTGAGATGCTTAAGTCAGTGCTAACTCCCACCGCTATCGACTTGCATCTCAGTTAAGTGTCAATCATTTTCCATATGTATCTAACACATAATGATTTGCAGTTGAAAAATGCCTGTTATCAACCATTTTCTCAGTCTCTGCTTTAGACATTTGTATTTTTCAACAAGAGAAGGTCTGAGGGTTCTGGGAGGAGAGAGGAGAAAGTTGGAACAAATAAAAGAATAGTGATCTAAAAAATTCACAAGGACTGAGATGAAGGATGATCAAAGTTCTCATCAGCCTTCTTCTGATGAGAACTGAATTAAGGATGGGACTTAGAAGAACATGAATAATAAGTTTCCTAGTGTTGAACCCCACAATTAGACATACCCACCCGCTTTGCCAAGTAGAGCAGAACAGCCTAGTTTTCCCACATGAGAGCCTCTCCCTGAGAGACACATGATCAGCTCAGCCTTTGCCTCGAGGAGGAAGTGACAGGACTGAGCTACTCTGCTTGTGCCTTTTCCCAAATTCAGGAGCCACGTCACACCACCTCCCCTGTGGGAAGTGGCTAGTGGCCATGGACCTTCAGGAAACTTCCCTCCTTTTAGAAACCATAGTAGAAAATTGCTAGTACTAGTTCCTTCTGGAAATTCAGTGGCCCACCTGTGACATCAAATCCCAGTGGGTGTGAGGTTGAGAGAATATTTATACAACATGGTCATGGAGTCCCTGAATAACAAATACAGTAGTGAGTTTGTTCAATATTTGGCCAATTCTACAAGTTCCTTCTTTGCCCAGTTTTACTGGCCTTTTCTAACCAGGTTTGTGATTTGGAAAACTAGATAAATATGGCTCCATTCCCTAAAATAGGGGAAATAGGAAAATGAACAGTTTTGTGAGGAATAATAAACTCCATCTCTGATCGAGTAAGCTTGAACTATCTCTGTTATATTTATAAAGAAGGAGAAAATTCTTTTGGATTTATAGCTGTTGGGAAATGAAAGTGTTAAATCCCTTTTGGTGGGGCTAAAGGACTAATCCCAGAAGGCAAGGTCAAATAGGCTCCAGAGAGGAAAAAGAGGAGCCCTGAGAATAAGGGGGATAACTATGAGAAAGGAAACACAAAAGTGTGGAAAGGGGTCATTTCAGGAAGGTGGGAGGTAAAATCAGATGGCAGGAAAAGGATCAAAAGGACTTGCAGAGATGGTCAGAAGTAAGAGCTCTCCACTATGTAAGAGCTCTGGAGCTCTTACTAGGTACCAGATGTTGTGCTGTATAATACCAACAGTTCTAAAAAATGCCCCCTCCAACCTGGAAGGGATCGTGTTGAGTGAAATAAGCCAGAAAGAAAAGGAAAGATACCAGATGGTTTCACTCATAGCAGGAGTATAAAGGACCAGGGGAGAAAATAATAATAATAATAATACTGAACAACTATATACCAGAGACATTTTATGGGGGTCGAGTGGGGGATGGGACCAAAAATGGGAGGGGGATGTGCACTGGACTATGGTGATGGCACATGGGTGATTTGGTGATGGAAAGCTCACAGGGATTACAGCTGAGATGGGAAAAAGCACAAAATGATGTGAAAATAAGCTATTATATTATTTTTCTTAAATGAAAATAAAAAAAGAAATTGAAAAGACAAAAAAAAATGTTCCCTCCATTTTATTGATTAGCTAAATTAGAGTAAGATAAACCTAGAACCAGCTTAGATCACAGAACTGGGGTGGACAGCTGGGTCTTAGGCCCTGTCACCCGACTCCTAACCTCTGAGCATTTCTTCCTTCTAGAAGTCTTTGTTCACTTCTGTGGTTAAGTGAGGAAGCCAGAGCTCGGTGAGTTGAGCAGGAGCTCAAGAAAATGGGAAGGAGAAATGACTAATACAGGAAGGTAGGCAGGCTGAGGTTTGTCTTATTTATCAGGATTGTTTGCTTTAAGCTGCCAGTCACTGCAACATGATTAAATGTAGATGGATTTGAGGAATGTGGAAGGCAGACAGCAAGTGTGGTGGACAAGCTCACTTCAGAGGAGCCCTCCTCCTGGGTGACGAGATAGAACAGAGGCAATGAATTAGTAGGTTTAATGTCAGAACACTGTGGAAGTGCTCTTCTGATTGTCCTCATTTCTTCTACCTTCCCTGCCCCACCATTAGTTCCCTTCTCTACTGGAACTTCTGACTTAGCTGTCAGAGCTGCATCCACACTCTCCTATTGATTTTAGGCTTCCAGAGAGCACTGCATATCCATCCACTATACACGTTGCCAGGTGTGCAGGACACCCCCTCCCGTGCGGTCCACACGCCCACACACCCACACACACTTCATGCCCGGTAAGCATGAATGCATTCAGTTTAATCTGAGAGGTGCTACTGTAGGAACTTGAAGTTTGGAAAGGGACTGAGTGTCCGTGGGATTGTAATGAGAGGCATATGGGAAAGAGCACAAGAGGGAAATATTCTGCAGAGTGTTGTGGGCCGCAGGGGGAAGACAGCAAGAGGGAGCCAGAGGAGGCGGGGAACTGAGCGCTTGTGTGAGAGGTGTCTGGAGACACTATAAGGAGTATGGTTTTGAGGTAGTTGTTGAAGAACGGGTGTATTTTCAACTGTCCGAAAAATAGAAATAGGCTATTTTATTTAGAGAATTCACATGAGAAGTAGTGTGCAGCTTCCCTGGGAAAGATGGCACTTCACTGGGAGTGTGGAGTAGAGCGGAAGTGGCTAGGTCCATGATGCCATGGAAAGACCTTCATGTCAGGCTGAAAAATCCTGTTTTATTCCATTCCCTTGAGAGTAATTTTGTTTTATTATCTTTATCTAATCAGAAACATAGCATACATTCGAAAGTTATTTTTAAATACTGTTTGTGGCTTAACCAAGAGTTTATCGTAAGAATTTAGAAATCCTGTCTACCAGGTTTCTTTCCAGAAACTAGGTCACTGTCCTGAGTTTTCCAGATACCAGTACAGCAGTCCTCCTTACCCACAAGGACAAGTTCCAAGACCCTCAGTAGTTTCCTGAAACCAGACAGGACACCAAACCCTGTATTTTCCTTATATATTTACTTCCTCCCCCACCCCCGTACATACATACCTATAATAAGGCTTTATTTATATATTAGCACTAGTAAGTGATTAATAATAATAATATTAATAGACAATCATAAAAATACACTACAATTAAAGTTATGTGAATGTTCTCTCTCTCAAAATATCTTCTTGTCCATAATATTTTTGGATTGTATTTTAGCATGGGTTACTAAAACCATGAAAAATAAAATCATGGATAACTGTGACTTGGCAGTTATGTTATAGGGAAGGGGTAAGGGCACCCGGGAACCCACAAATCTGTCCATTCTATGTTCAGTCATCTGCCACATGAAGACAAAATATACTCCAGTGCATAAGACCTTTATTGGAAAGAAATTTTAACATAATTCGTAGATAATAAAGAGAAGGGAAAGAATAGATAAAATATTTTCATTCAAAGCACCCTCGGTTACCCATCCCCTGAGGGATAAACGCCCAGCCAAACACTGTTGACCCAAAGCAGGACTGATGCCCAGTAGCTTGCTACAAATCTGAGACACCTTCTGGTGGGGAACCAGAGAAAAATGTGCAAAAAAAGCCAGGCGAGTCGGGAAGGAAAAGAGAAAAATCAAGATAAAAGCTGCCATTGTCAGCCTCCCCACAGGTCTCTCACCCACATCGCTGTCTCAAATGTCACCTTCCATGTCCTCGAAATCCCTGGTACAATCCGAAGGCCAAGAAACAAATGCAGCTTCTTCATGTCTCTTGCTCCATGTACCCCCTCTCCCTCCCTCCCTCCTCTCCTTCCTTCCTTTCTCTTTGCCAACCTTTCCTCCACCCTATTCAGCTCCACTTTTCTTTAGGTGGAGCAGCGACACTGGAAACCCCCTTTTCCTGGAGACCACCCTGTTATAGTTACAGACTTTGTCATATGGGCAAGTGGGAGGCTCAGGTTGTGGAGGGTGAGCCAGGAACCTGCTCTCACAGCTACAGGTTTGGGATCGACACTAACGTGCCCATTTTAAATCACTATCCTTAATAACTATTTTTTGACGAAAAAGTAAATAAACCCTCCTTTTTTTTCTTTCAGTTAAGAAAAAGAAGCCTAAGTTGCTAAATAAATTTGACAAGACTATTAAAGCTGAACTTGATGCTGCAGAAAAACTCCGTAAAAGGGTAAGTTTGGTGTTTTTGTTTTTCAGAGAAGTGTACAAAATGGGTTAGTTGTTGAATGAATCCAAACATTACTCTTCATTTGTTAAAAAAGAAATGTAAGAGAAACAACCTTTGAATAGAGTGGATTTTCCCCCAGGCACATCAGCATTTTCTGTGAAAAGAATTCAGCTATAATGGTCAAACAGAATAAAATATCCCTGCAGGCCAGCCAACAGGGAACCAACCCACTTACGTCAATTCTGGGCCTTTGGCTTTGGGCAGGTCATGTGACTGAGACTCTGTTTTTGTATTTTAAAAAATAAGAATAATAGACCTCCTACTTTCTAGTTGGGTTTTTATAAAAAGCAAATGAGAGTTTAAAAAACTGTCGACATTGTCAAGTGCCATATAACTAGAGGTTTTCATTTTATACTAGCTCAAAGAAAGAAAATAAAAGAGGTTGCTTGACTCCTCGGGTTTTTTATTCTTCTCACTTGGGGTTAACTTCATGGACATTACCAGAGTGACTTTTTAATTTTTTATTTTAAGATTTATTTATTTATGCATACAGACTGGGGTATAGGCCAGAGGTGCTGGGGTGGTGAGAGGATTCACTAGAGACGGAGTGGGGAACAGAACAGGCAGACTGACCAAGTACACTGCTGAGGGGAGCAGGTCAGGAGATGGTCAGGAGAGGTCTGCTGCGCCATATGGGTCAGCGCCCTGGCCGGGGATCAACTTATGACGCAGTAGCTGTGGATAGCTTCATAGTGCTGTGTTTTAATCTGTTGCGTCACAAGGGAGGGCCCTTGTTTTGCTTTGTCACCAGTTAAATTGAAATATTTGCATTTGTTTGTAAATATGACACAGTTTTTGCAAACAAATAATTAACCCTATAAGTTAAAGGTACTTGTCTTAATTTGGTCTGATCATCTAATAATTGAATCCAAAAATATTTATTGTAATGTATTTAATGACATCTTCATTTAATCATCTGCTTTTATTAATGGAGATTTCTCTTTTTCTATTCTGTATTTGAAGTTATTATTTGTGTAATGTATTTGTGTAATTAGTTTTCCTACGCATTTTTTTAAAATATGTAAACATTGAGTGTAAAAAAGGTAAAATGGACTATAAGGCCCAGTAGCAATAGCAACAGTGGGATAAGTATGTTCTTTGCAGTCATTTATTTGAAATTAACAACAGACAGGAAGGTCCTGTCACTAGCAGTGGGTAAAGTTCCAAATCCAAGGTCGGCTTACCCTCCTCTTCACTAGTCAATTAAAAAAAAAAAAAATAGTATTTCGCAGGCTACTACAGCAAAGTCAGTGTTCACTGCCTCTGAATTTAGCCACATGGGATGATTTCTGAGTCAGCCTTCTTTAACTTTATAAAATGAAGTGATCTCTGGTATGTGATAGGTTTTCACTTCATTTTAAAAAATGAAACAGGCCCTTTTCGGTCACCTTGTTTGTCATTCCTCACTGTCTGTGTCACAAGTGTCACATGTGAAGAAGTGCAGTGGGTGACCATTAGGGTAAATAACAATTGAGCCCGTTAGCTGCCTTAGTGCGGGAGTTTTCTGTAACTACAATGACTGGCAAAGAAGGGCTCAGTTATCAAGGGGTTGTTAGGTCAGAGGGCTGTAAAAATGCTGGCCCACTGGTGCCCTTGGAGTTCTGGGGTTCCTGCTGATCTGGAGTAGTGATGGTTTAAATGTTAAAAATCAACACAGGAATCAGACTGACTTCTTTGGGTCCTCTGTTATTATAGAAAAAAAATTTTGGTATTTCTGATATATTATTATGAAATTTTGTTTCTCTACAAGATAAATGTCAGAGAGCTACAAAATGGTGTTCCTTACAGGGTACCCTAAATCTTTAGCAGGAGAAAAAAGTGGCCACATAAGCAATTGTGGCTTTTGAAACAATAGGGAGCTGTGTTATGATCAGTACAGCTAAGTCTTTAAAGGTTGTTTTATACCTGGTATATTCAAATATACTGTGGCTGCCAGCCTGGCAGCAGAGTGAAGGCCTTGCTGGGCAGGTTAGAGGAGTCTGGCCTCAGTGCACATCCAGCTTCAAGTGCGCTGCTCCTTGGAAGTAGTTCATATTTTTGAATTTTTTTTTCTTTCCAAAAATGTATAGATCATATCATATGTCAATCACCTATTTTTAAAAAATAATACCAATGGGGCCCTCCCTGGTGGCGCAGCGGGTTAAAGCACTGCACTAAGAAACTAAAGAGCCGCTTCCGCATGAGTTCGATTCCCGCCTGCCCC